GACCGGACCGATTCAACTGAACTGGACCGACAGCTTACTCGGAGCTGGTCGGTCATTCGGTTGACTATGTGCAGCTCGGTTTGACCGTGGTCCGGGTTCGGCGTGGCAACTCGGGGCCGGCACGAACTCGATTGACACGGCTTGACCGATGCACGGTTTGGAACGGTGCCACGGTCACTGACGCAGGGGCGTGCTTGGACCACGGCTAACGGAACGGTGCATAAACGGTAGATCGGATAGACTCGGTGCACGGGCACGCACTCGGGGTTTGACTTGGACTCAGTGCACGGGCACGCACTCGACGGTTCGTCTCCAACGGTCGGACGAGAGGTGATCACGGGCACGAGACGACGATGCACATTACGAATTACGATATGACAACTAGTAATTATCCAGACGGTACTAGGGTTCTGTCACTTATATCCGGATCTAGAAAAATACTCGATTATCTGAACCGAATAACTAGGGTTTCTGATTCTCAAAAATCCTAACTCGTTTAAGGCCGATAATTATAATATATATTTTATGTGATTTATATCAATTTTATAATCAACTACTGCAGCTAAAATCATGTCCAGCTAATATAATAAAATATCGCCAAATGAGGCTAATGTCTCGATTTTTGGTTTATATCAAATGGTGTCCAAACATTACGAAATTCAAAACACACCATTTCTAACACCTACATGGTTCATGGTCAAAATATCGAGTCAAAATTCAACTCCTAACTCATTCAACTCTCAATCGCTTCAACCGGTCAAATTCTTTAAAAATCGTGTTCGTCTATTAAACGAACTCTAAATATTCTCATATTTGCACCTAAGCCTCAAGACAACACAACAAATTTTTTTATAAAATTTAATTTATTATTTTATCGCACTTATGTAACAAGTCCGAGAAATTCGTTTCAAGCTCGTAATTATCCCAAAATTTCAAATCGCTTAAATCCTCAAATTAATCATTCTTATATCATCTTAATAACCATGTCTAAGCCATCGGAGTCCTTTGTAAGATCTTTTACCTTAAACCGGATCGGATTGAAGCAAACGAGAGTAGATCGGGCTAGAAAATGGGTCCAATAAAACAAATCGGCCATGGACTCGAGCCTAGGGCGCTGAAATTGGACCAAAAGTGCCGCTGGTCGCACGTGGACAACAGCTGGTCGGGTTGCCGAGCTACAGTGACGCGGAGGAGCTGTTTCCGGCGAGTTCTTGCCGGAATCGGGCCTGGGTGCGCAGAAAGAGTTGCTGGCGGCTGACACGCGCGGTGAAGCTGCGAGGTAGATGGACTCATGCTGAAACGCCACAGTTCAAAACTGTGGAAGGTGGAGGTGGCTTGCCGGTGTGGTGAGCTCGCTATTTTCCGGCGAATTGAGGTCACGCGACTAACTGCAGATTTGGGTCGCGGGTTGAGGAGCTCGGCAGCGGGATTTACCTGCGCGCGCGAGGTACGGGGCTGAGGTGGAGTTTCGACCCACTGGGTTCGATGGACTGCAACTGGACGTGCTCTCCGGGAAAAAGAAGCTTGAGGTCGACGGCGTGAAGGTCTCGCCGGAAAATGGAAGCTCGACTGGTCGGAGGAAAGAGGTGGACCCGTGGATGGCGGCTGAAATCGAGTTGTTCGTGGACAGCGCCTTGAGGATGCGGGGGTGAACTCGTCGGTCGCGATTTCGCTGGAAACTCGTCGGATTGTTGTCGGAAATGAAATGGTGAAAGGATTTTTAAAGCTTTAGCTATGGAGATGTATTTTTGGTCTTGAAGATGAAAGTGGTAGAAGGTGAAGTGTGGATGATGTATATGGATATATATATATATATA